TAATGATTCTAGTCATAAGTAACGAACAACGTGTGTGTATTTATTGTTTTAGACAACTCAATACATTTTACAGATTATTTGTTGCATTAATCATGACTGAAACAGAAAGCCCTAATTTGTATAATTTTAAATTATGTATGGAATGCTGAAAGCTTTATTTATTCTATTTATATAACAAATATTTCCCCAGCAGATAGCAGCATCTTTGATTCCATTTCTTGTGTGTTAATAAGGAAATAATGTACACATGTATATGGGCACCAAAAATACTCAATATACGTAGATCAGGGAAATAAATCAAATTATCATCAAATCAACAATTTGAAGGACCGATTTGTTTTCCACTAATATCTTCTTCTTTTTTTTGGCCCCACGAAACACGGTGGGGCTATCCACTTTGTAAAATGGATGGATGAATGATAAATGGGTGATTCAGCTGCCGGCGCCATTCTGGCAAGACATTCGGCACGCGACTCTCACAGTGCATTATGGGTATTCTATAGCTGTCGAGTGCACATCAGGGCTGCGTTCAGCTCCGACAAAAACGGTGCAAAACGTTTTTTAAACGGAAACGGTGCGCGCTGAGCTCTGTTCTGATGAAGCAAGAGTTGCAGCTATGGCGGCTGAGAAGGACATTCTTTGTGTTCTTTCTGAAGAATTTTCGGAGCCTGATGAAATCGGTATAAATACGTGTTTAATACTGCCAAACACGCTCGATGGTATAGTCACCGCCCTTGCCCTCCAGAATAAAAGAGAACATCCCAATCCAGTGAAGGGGTTTGTGCAAACTGTGGTTCCTAATTATTGTGATCCAACATCTGCCTCGCATTTCAGGTGAAGGATAATCCCCTTCTTACCTCCGAGACTGTGTTATGATCTATATGACCTTATTATTTTTATTGTGAGTATTCAGCTCATCATAATTGCTGATCGCTGTTGTTGTGCTATGATATTGTAATATTTACCATTATATAATCAGAGGGGTATAGAAAAGTTTATGAAAGTGTCACTCCATAATACAATAGCAAAATATATAAATACTGTATGTATAGTATTTTTATGTTACATTAATCAGTGTCTAGCACACCTTCCGAAGGAAAGGATATGGACCAGAAGACATTGCAATTACTAAATGATATTTAGACAGACTTAAAGAAGTTCCAGATCTATACTTGTGCTCTTATTATTTAAGTTATTTTGCCTTTAATGTAAATAAACATGTGTAAACAATATACTTGCTCTTGTGAATTTATTTTGATGTTAATTACATTGTGTGAGCTGTCTCTTTAATACCGCGTGGTTTATATACATGTTGCTGCTGATTGGGCTGACATGTTTGACACACCCACCAAACAAGAGAAAACGCATCTCAAACCCCGTTGCACACCGTTTCCGGAAAACATGTCGTTCAAACCGGAAACCGTAGCAAAACGTTGCACACCGGTTTGAGCTTGAACTTGCCCCAGTTGTACACTCGTTATTGCAGTGCATTGTGGGATTGAAGGTTTCGGACACCAATAAAAATGCCTGTCCCCTCAAATAGTGCCCTATTTAGAAGACAATTTCAGACACAGGGTATATTTTAGAATAATTTAAATATAATACCTCAAATCATTTGTACAGACCGAATTTCTCCAATTCAATCTGCTGCTTTGGGTTTCTCTGCAGACAACGTTCTGTGCTGAGAGATGGGAGAGATGTCTTGTTATTACCTTAAACTTCACATTTATCCACAAGACTGACTTCTATAAAGCCACTCGGATTAGATGTTCCTTTTCCTGCATTGGTTCTATTTTGTGTGATTCAGATTTACAACTGACCATTGCTGGTCTTTGGTCCAGATGTTATCATGCATGTTTTCCAGTTCATGTTCTTCTGGAAACTCCCCAAACAGCGTTACAAACAAGATATTGAACAAATTCAAACAAGTACACACGGGGGCATACGATGCTCTAGGACCAGAATGTACTGTCTGAAACTCGATAATCTCAGGAAACCTGGGGCTTTACTGGCTAGAATTTTATCAGGTTTAGCTCATTTCTGGGTACAAATTTGTCCACAAAATATGGTTAAGTAGGCACAAACACAGACACATATAAAAGACATAAAACACACCGGCTCAAATGGAGACAAAATTAGACTAGTCCTGGACAAATGCTGCGTCCCAATTTGCATACTATCCGTCCTAAATAGTATTCGAAAATAGAATTAGTATGTCCCAAATCATAGTATGTTTAAAAAAGTATGCCAAAGATTCCCGGATGGTCTACTACTGCCGGTTAGAATTCGAAGTGCAGATCGATGCACACTCTCAGTGCGTTCCAAATGGGATATATCGCCCTCCGAATGGCACTTCGGAGTGAAAACGATCATGGCCGCCATATTGAAGGTGTCGTTCCAAACCGAAGTGCTCAAAACTGGCCACTTCAAAGGGCCCTTCGGAATGAAGGATTTCGAAGGGTACAACTGATGGACACTTCGGGCTCCCATGATCCTTTGCGCAGATTCTTTGCATGATGACGGCGCCTCCGTGTGGGCACGTAATGATGGGCACTTCATGGGCACTTCAAGAAACAGTTGTTTGGTCCCCTACACCCTTCAACCCTTCGAAGCTCTCACTCCGGAGGGTAAACCCTTTGAAGGATGGAACACAGGGTCTAACGGCTAATATTGCTCACAGCTGTGGACGAGGATTCGTTTAGAACTACAAACATGCATAACAAGTGTTAAAAAACTGCAAACATGGCAGATATACGCGACCGACGGACAAGTAGAGAAATTAAAGGATTTGAGTGATAAATAAGCAATGTCTAACCTGATGAAAAATATGAATTTAATGTTATCCACGTTATAGTTCATCTGCAGCAACACTGTGAACTTTTATAATGATACGTTTGGTCATTAACTCTTAAATGCATCATTATGCAAACACATGAGCAGAGTTCTTGGCATGATAGACCCGCGACTAGCAGATCAACGTGCCTCTTCATTTCTCTCCAGTACGGTAGGGAATCAAATTAAACGAAATGTGGATGATGTTAACTGTGACAAGATGATTGACAGGGCAGTTTAAACAGTGACAGAAAGCACGTAACTAAGCAACAGAGCGTCCGTTAAAGAAACAACTATGACGAAGTAGTATGTCCCAAAGCTTGCCTACTATAATTCTTCTACATACTCAAACGTATGTACTTTTTTTCACAAAAATAGTACATACTTTTAAGGCATAGTATAAGTACACTGTAAAAAATTACCATGAATTTAATGGTAAAAGACTGTAAAAATGCTACAGTAAAAGCCTGTTAAATGGTTAATGGTAAATTCCTCTACTATATACAGTGAAAAACTGTATTGGACATTACATGTATTGGACATTAATTTTACGGTAGTATACTGTTTTTGGAAGTGAAAAAGAATGTATAATTTACAGTGAATAACATTCCCAGAATTCCCTGCGTTACATTTCAAATTTGATGTTTTTTTTGTTGAAATAACTGTTTCGTCTTAGTTTTTTCCTATCAATTTTGTATATTAGGCTTGTGTGTTACACCTAATGTTGTTAAATGAATGTTTATTGCATTATTTCAGTTTCACGTGTGTTAGCGTGATGGTGTTTAGCGTTTGTATGAATGACATGTGCACCTTCTATATATGTTAGTATTTAAAAGCTGCTTGTGATGGGCTTTGCTTCATCATGTGACTTTCTCATCACCTCCTGCATTTGGTGGTTATCAGTGTATTACAAAGCTACAAAACAGATTTCAGTACTTCAATAGGTTGGTATATTAACATTATATCAGTTAATGAAATTACGGTATTTAAGTGTAAATTTAAGTTAAAACTGTAAAACCTAAAACGTTTCTACAGTATTTTTTACGGTAAAATTCCGGCAACCACAGCTGCCGTTTTTTTACCGTAAATTTTACGGAATTTTTTTTACAGTGTACGCAAATTGAGACGCAGCAGAACTGTTGACAAATGGTAGTTTATCGATAACTATCTTTATCTAAAAAAAACAACAACACACATTTGTGATCTGTGATTAATGTTAATATGAGATGTTTAAATTGAAAACAGTGACTGAGAAGAGAAACGGAGAGAGCACGGCCTACCTTCAAAACTGATATATTCTACGCCCTTATTGGAGATTAAACCACCACCTGATCAACAACAACAACATAAATAAATACAAAATATTTGTAAAATAATTCTTTGCAATTACTATGCATGGAAAGTCCACATTATTTCAATTCAGTTAACCCTGAACAGACATTTAAAGTTTCATTTAATTTAAATTCTAAGCACATAGAGCATGTTTGACAGGTCGGTCAGGCCTGACAGGTCAAGTGCTATAAATAGTGAACATGGACATACTAAAAGAGTGCTTATAAAGGACAGAGTGAGAGGCTCTATAGTCTTTGGTTCTGTCCACCTTATTTTCCCCATAAGAGCGGTGTTTGGCTTCCGGTCTCATCCACTTCCAGCTATTTTTAGCTGTACAAAACAGCTCGTTTTTCTGCTTGATATTGCAAACTGGTGTTTCTTAGCATATTATTTTAATGTATTGTCTTAATTATGAACACACTGGGTTATAGAACTTTACCGTTTATTACACTTTATTATTATTATTATTATTTATTATTATTCAGAAAACAGCTTACTTCCATATTGAAAAAGGGCAAACAAGGCTGTAGATGTTGTAAATACAAAAAAAATAAAATAATAACCTGAAGGCCGTCAGTAGTCAGTGTTAATTTGAGAGAGAGAAAAGGTCGTTGTTTTAGAACATTAAAGCCCAGAGTTTTCCCAGAATATCCTATTCTCTTTAAATGAAATGTTTACCAAAACAACTGTCTGAAGAAACAACGGCATTTGCTGTACATATACATTTATTCACAAGTTTTAAAATCTATGGTTACCTCCTGACTCGTGTTGGGATCATTTCATTTCGACTCGCGATTCATTCAATGGAACCGATTCAGTGACTCGTGAATCAAGCCTCACTAGGAACAAACAGTCCGTTGTCAGACCGCCGGTGAGGAGAGAAGACTGTGTGTGTGAATACAGCAGTCTTCTCATTTAGTGTTATCAGCGGCTGTGTGAGTACAGTACCGGGTTAGGGGTTTTATGTGAATGTTGTTATCTTCGCTAATAAATGCAGTCTTTTGCCTTGAGCAGTGAGTTAGCTGATGAGCTAACGTTAGTTAGCAGCAAAGCTAATGCTAATTTTGTAAGAATAACCCTCGCTAGACAAAGATGTCCAGTTATAATACTGATTTATGTATTCATTTCAATGTAAAATCACAATTGCACTGCAGTTTTGCAAGACTTAAAACATTACATGCGGAATATCCCGACAGCCTGCATCTCATTATACTTTAATGCAATGATTTTATATTGTCTTTCTTTTTGATTCTTGCCGTTATATAAATACATATTGCCCGTTTGTTTTCAGGTCGTATATGTCAGTATGTGTTTATATATAACTCTGTTGATAACATTATTATGAATGTTTGATCTGTTCATGCCTTTATTGAAGATGTGCAACCATTATGCGTTAATTCACAGGTTTAAGCTGTTATTTTGAGAGCACTGTCTGCTATCATAACCACATGAAACAGTCTCACATCAGCGCGCTGTAATCTGAGTGTGCTTGTGTCTTCCAGCAGATCAGGCTGCGGACCCCTCCATGGAAGAGGCCAGCGATGAGGGGCTTTTACTCCAAGCTGGACTCCTCGTCTCTGGGCATGGCGATGCCCCTGAACCTGGCCGTGGAGACTGAGAAAGCTCAGGCCCTGCTCCAGACCTTCAGCACTGCCTCTCTGTTAGCCAGCGCGGGCCTGGGCGCTTTCTGCTTCCTCGCCGACCACTTCCTGACGCTCCCCCTCATCCAGCAGCATCTGTGGCTCAGGGCTGTGCTCGATAACGCCGTCCACGGCATCATCGGGCTCTGGTCATGGGCCATCGTCATCGGGTTGAGGAAGAAAAGTAACTTCTATGAAGTCGTCTTGGCCGGGTTTCTGGCTTCTGTCATCGACCTGGACCACTTCTACGTGGCTGGATCATTGTCGCTCAAAGTGAGGCCTTTTTGTTTCTTTTATTAGCATTTGAAAACCTTTTTTTTTTTTTTTGCATTGAATTCCATTTTTTGCCCCCATTACAGTAATGAGAATTGGGTAATTCTAAATTAATAAATATATTTATAATTCTAGAATTATTTATTTGAATCTTAATTAAATGCTTAATTGTTCTGAAAATACTGCATTATTATTATTATTATTATTTAGTGCTGGGCAATGATTAATCGTGATTAATCGCATCCAAAATAAAAGTTTTTGTTTACATAATATATTTACTTGCATTTAAATGTATATTTTATATTCATATAAAATATACATAAAAAATATTATGTTTTTACTTATTAATGATAATATTTAATATTTTATCATTTTATTTAAACCTTATAAAATTACAGCCAACTAGAAAGCAATCAGTTTCTGATTCTGTTGTCGCGTCAATTTAACAACTTAAAGTGCTGTCACATTTATTGTTTTTTGTGAGTGAAATCCATCCATTTCAATAAGAATCCACGCAATCAGAAATTTTGCTTATGGGCGAAGGATTTCATATCAGGTTCAAGCTGGTCATGCAAATTCACTCACTGTAAAAAAAAATCCGTAAAAAACCAGCAGCTGTGGTTGCCGGAATTTTACCGTAAGAAATTCGGAAGCAACGTTTTAGGTTTTACGGTTTTAACTTAAATGTACAGTTAAATACCGTACTTTCATTAACTGATATAATGTTAATATACCAACCTATTGAAGTACTGAAATCTGTTTTGTAGCTTTGTAATACACTGATAACCACCAAATGCAGGAGGTGATGAGAAAGTCACATGATGAACCAAAGCCCATCACAAGCAGCTTTTAAATAAAAACATATAAAGAAGATGCACAGTGTGTCATTCACACAGACACTAAACACCATCACGGTAACACACATGAAACTGAAATAATGCAATAAACATTCATTTAACAACATTAGGTGTAACACACAACCCTAATATACAAAACTGATAAGAAAAAACTAAGACGAAACAGTTATTTCAACAAAAATACATCAAATTTGAAATGTAACGCAGGGAATTCTGGGAATGTCAATTCACGGTTATTCACTGTAAATTATACGATCTTTTTCACTTCAAAAAACGCTATACTACCGTAAAATTAATGTCCAATACATGTAATGTCCATTACAGTTTTTCACCGTATATAGTAGGGGAATTTACCATTAACCATTTAACAGGCTTTTACTGTAGCATTTTTACAGTCTTTTACCGTTAAATTCACAGTCATTTTTTACAGTGTGGTGACCAACAGAAAGCCGTTTTGTTTGAAAGTGGCTTCTGTGTGAGCTGTGCTTCATACATCACTACACTATTCATGACTATTTACGTTTTTTGTCTGGAAAATTTTGCTGAAAAAAGATGACTGCACGATGAGATCATGTCCAAGTCTGACTTGCAAAAATGCCAAGAACGATTCAAAAGACTCAGAATGAAGCATTTGTGAATAGATTTGTTTTTTACCAGCAAACACGACTGCGCCAATGAGACTGCAGCATATATATATAATATAGACATGATCAATAGGCTATATATAAGATATTTTTAGTATTTCTATGACTATGACCAATGTAATCCCTTTGTTATTAGACACTCTTGCTTACAAGATAAAATGATCAAGGCTGACAGCACATAATGCTTTTATGCAATGGCATTAGTAACTCAAAGTTTGCTACATTCACTCTAAGGAGACCGTCATATTGATCAGTGCAACACGCGGCTTTAACCTAGTTTGTGTGCTTGTGTTGATGCAGGCTGCTGTGAATCTGCCGCACAGGCCTCCGCTGCACTGCTCCACCCTGATCCCAGCGCTCTGCTTCTCTCTGCGCCTCCTCATGTGGGCCTGCCGGCTCAAGGACTCCTGGTGCTCCCTGCCCTGGATGTTGTTCATCTCGCTGGCGTCGCACCACATCCGCGACGGCGTTCGGCGCGGTCTCTGGGTGTGTCCGTTTGGAAACACGGCGCCCATCTCTTACTGGCTGTACGTCACCATCACAGCCACTCTGCCTCACCTGTGCTCGGTGCTCATGTATCTGACCGGCACCAGAGACATGATCTCCACCAAACACGGGGTCGCCATCGACGTCTGAAACACTGGCTTGATCGTTTATTTTTCTTTCTTTATTTTTCCCAGCAAAAACATGGCACTGGATATATTTCCATTAGCTCTTTGCCTCATCGCCAATCCAATGTAATTCGTCCTCCTTCCTTGAGAGATTTTCAGTATGTTTGATACTTTTAACTACTGTGGTCATTCAGGTATCAGTGTGAAATCAGGTTGTATTTACTGTGAAGACTGTGAGTATTTTAATATGTATGAAGTAGATTAGGGTTGGGCGATTAAAAAAAAAAAAAAAAAGATCATTTTGCAGCCTTTTTGTACAATATGCTATATATATATATTTGATATAAAAATCCATTAGAGAGCAAATAGAGAAATTATATTATAGTATAGTTTCAATATTTGCTGATTTGGATTTAGATTCTCATTGCTGGCAAGTAGATAATATTTAATTATTCTTAAAATCTAATAATTTATTAATATGCATCAATGTAACAGTATAAAGTAGGGATGTAACGATTCACTCAAGTCACGATTCGATTCACGGTTTTGATTTCACGATTCGAGTCACCATTTTTTTTTTTTTTTTTTTTACAAAATGAGATTTAAGACAAATTAAAAATTAAATGTTCCCTTTTTTTTTTGCTTGGACAAAATGCTGCACGTTTCTTTGTGAAATTGTAATATAACACTATAATATACTAATATAGCACTGGCATATTATTGCTCTTTTGTTAGTTTTGATTGCTTCTATTCTCCTCATTTGTTAGTCGCGTTGGATAAAATGTAAATATAATGTAAATGTAAATAACAAAACTAAATTTACATTTTAAAACAAGCCCCAAGTCAAATAAATAAGTAACACAAATAAAAGACATCTCGTCATATAAACAAAATAAAGCTTTGTCGGTGCTCTTTCCTTTTAAAATTAGAGGCAACCACTGCATTTTAATCATGATCCAAACAAAGATGCTGCATACATGCAACACGAGCAGAACGATTCACTCAAGTCACGATTCGATTCACGATTTTGATTTCACGATTCGAGTCACCATTTTTTATTTATTTTTTTTTACAAAATGAGATTTAAGACAAATTATAAATTAAATGTGTCCTTTTATTATTGTTGGACAAAATGCTGCACGTTTCTTTGTGAAATTGTAATATAACACTATAATATACTAATATAGCACTGGCATATTATTGCTCTTTTGTTAGTTTTGATTGCTTCTATTCTGTTAGTCGCGTTGGATAAAATGTAAATATAATGTAAATGTAAATAACAAAACAAAAAAACTAAATTTACATTTTAACAAGCCCCAAATCAAATAAGTTACACAAATAAAAGAAATCTCTTCATATAAACAAACGAAGGCTTTGTCTGTGCTCTTTCCATCTCCATTTAGAGGCAACCACTGCATTTTAATCATGATCCAAACAAAGATGCTGCATACATGCAACACGAGCAGTTTTTAATCTAAATTAGATTGTATAATTTCCAAATTTGAAGCAAAAACAGAATGGTTTGACTTCAGTTTTGTGAAACTATACATAAAAAAATATCTGCATGAAACCAAAACGGCAGACGAGCTGAACGAGACGCAGATGCACTCTCTGCCAGCAGGTGACGCTTAAAACGTTTCATTGGATTCCGCTGTAAACAAAGCAGCGCTGCGCTTATAAACTTTAATATGCATTATACAGAGGCAAGATGAAAAGAAAAAATACCATCTAAACTTTTCTAAAGACAGTAAGTTCCCCTCAGACATACATTCATATAAACTCCTACACCTAACTGAATCGCGATTTGTTTAGCATCTCAACCGATTTGAATCGTCACATATTTGAATCGATTTTCATCCGGCTCGCGGTTAATCGTTACATCCCTAGTATAAAGTAATAAACAGCATTACCTGCCTATATTCAAACACCACACAAAGATGTCGATGAGCAATTTGAGTGATGAACAAACAAACAAATTGCTAATTTATAGTTGTGAATTAACTCGCTTAAGATTGTGCCGTCACATTAGCGAAATTTTGTCGAAAACCGCAAAAAAGGTCCGTTATCAGTAGTGTGGGGATGCAGCTTTTTTTGGTCGGTTAACGCGAAAGAGTCACATGACCAACTTGAACCTGTTGTGAAACCTGCGTGCGGAAATCGTTTGCCCTCCTGATTGTGTGAAAATTAGTGCAACTGCGGTGAACCTAAATCTTAAAGCCGTTGTTGCTACTGAAATTCAATTTATAAAAAAGTATCTGTTTTAATGCTTGCGATAAAAGGAAGCATTGCGAAACTATTAAAGTAACTTAATAGCTTCATAAAAAGTGCTTTTAAATCTAGTTCTAGAATTTATATCGCCAGCAAAATGGATGTGAATGTTGGCTATTATCGCCCAGCCCTAGTTTAGATGGTCTGGAATCACTCTTACGAACCTTACTTAAAAGCTTCAGCATTGTGGCGTCATATTTCTATTCTCCTCATTTGTTAGTCGCGTTGGATAAAATGTAAATATAATGTAAATGTAAATAACAAAACTAAATTTACATTTTAAAACAAGCCCCAAGTCAAATAAATAAGTAACACAAATAAAAGACATCTCGTCATATAAACAAAATAAAGCTTTGTCGGTGCTCTTTCCTTTTAAAATTAGAGGCAACCACTGCATTTTAATCATGATCCAAACAAAGATGCTGCATACATGCAACACGAGCAGTTTTTAATCTAAATTAGATTGTATAATTTCCAAATTTGAAGCAAAAACAGAATGGTTTGACTTCAGTTTTGTGAAACTATACATAAAAAAATATCTGCATGAAACCAAAACGGCAGACGAGCTGAACGAGACGCAGATGCACTCTCTGCCAGCAGGTGACGCTTAAAACGTTTCATTGGATTCCGCTGTAAACAAAGCAGCGCTGCGCTTATAAACTTTAATATGCATTATACAGAGGCAAGATGAAAAGAAAAAATACCATCTAAACTTTTCTAAAGACAGTAAGTTCCCCTCAGACATACATTCATATAAACTCCTACACCTAACTGAATCGCGATTTGTTTAGCATCTCAACCGATTTGAATCGTCACATATTTGAATCGATTTTCATCCGGCTCGCGGTTAATCGTTACATCCCTAGTATAAAGTAATAAACAGCATTACCTGCCTATATTCAAACACCACACAAAGATGTCGATGAGCAATTTGAGTGATGAACAAACAAACAAATTGCTAATTTATAGTTGTGAATTAACTCGCTTAAGATTGTGCCGTCACATTAGCGAAATTTTGTCGAAAACCGCAAAAAAGGTCCGTTATCAGTAGTGTGGGGATGCAGCTTTTTTTGGTCGGTTAACGCGAAAGAGTCACATGACCAACTTGAACCTGTTGTGAAACCTGCGTGCGGAAATCGTTTGCCCTCCTGATTGTGTGAAAATTAGTGCAACTGCGGTGAACCTAAATCTTAAAGCCGTTGTTGCTACTGAAATTCAATTTATAAAAAAGTATCTGTTTTAATGCTTGCGATAAAAGGAAGCATTGCGAAACTATTAAAGTAACTTAATAGCTTCATAAAAAGTGCTTTTAAATCTAGTTCTAGAATTTATATCGCCAGCAAAATGGATGTGAATGTTGGCTATTATCGCCCAGCCCTAGTTTAGATGGTCTGGAATCACTCTTACGAACCTTACTTAAAAGCTTCAGCATTGTGGCGTCATATTTAGCTTAGTGGTATAGATTCGTCTATTCAAATAATGCTGTTTTATTGCTTTTATTTGGAGCCACAGACACTAGGCTTGATTCATGATGTGTCCGATGTGCCGAGCGTTGAGAATGGATGTGTGTTGATGCTCTTTGTGCTTGTGAGAGCTGTGTTTGCAGTTGAGGATCACTGTAGGCATACTGGAAGGACAGTATTCTTTCTGTAGTGTATTTAAGCAGCAGAAAACACTGGTGGACCTAGTTTAACTCGGAAAAGGCTTTATGGATAAGCCTTTTAAAATGGTACGGAAAACAGAAATGCTTTCTATTGTTATAAAGATTATTGCTGCCTTTTAAGCCACAGGCTTTGGAATAACTGTAAATATGACTTGCCGACTTGTTGGAGTGCTTATTTCCAAACCACTCCGAACTTTTAAATGATTAAATTAGAACTGTTATTAACTCTTTGTATACACACTGCAGTTTAACTTCTTGGCAATTAATCAAGGTCCCCTAGTTAAGAATAGTTCAACCTGAAAATGTGCTCACCCTCAGGCCAGCCAAGATTAGGATGAGTTTGTGTCTTCATCAGATTTGGAGAAATGTAGCATTGCATCAGTGTCTCAGCAGTGAATGGGTGCCGTCAGAATGAGAGTCCAAACAGCTGATCAAAACAATAATCCACAGCACTCCAGTCCATCAGCTAATGACTTGAGAAGCCAAAAGCTGCATGTTTGTAAGAAACAAATCCATCAAGACATGTCATTTCTGGCCAAAATATGAATCTGCTTCATAATAAGCTTCCTCCAGTGAACAAATCTCCTGTTGTCTCTCACATCAAAATCCACTGACAAACTTGTTTAGAGCTGTTTTGGACTGTTTTGGCTTTTTTTTTTTCTGAATTAGACGAGACGACAACGTCACTGGAGGAAACATTGTTATGGATTATGGACTTGTATTTTAGCTGAAAGCAACAGTTTGATGTTAAAATGTCTTTATGATGGATTTGTTTCAGGCAGGTTTTTTACTTCGTAAGCTGTTAACTGATGGACTGGAGTGGTGTGGATTATTGTGATGTTTTTATCAGCTGTTTGGCCTCTCATTCTGACGGCACCCATTCACTGCAGAGCACCCACTGCTGAGACACTGATGCAGTGCTACATTTCTCCAAATCTGATTCCCAAACTCATCTACATCTCTTGGATGACCTGAGGATGAGTACATTTTCCTATGAACTATTCCTTTTTTCTTTTCTAAAATTGTATTCAGTTGTGTGCCATCATAGTTGTTTTAATACTTTAAATCGATATGAAGTAAGCAGACACAAAAACAAAATGTGTTGTTACAGACTGCTGTTGGACTACAGATCTCGGACTAAATACTCACTTTGGCTTTCAATTGTTCAATATTAGTGTTTACAGTACAATGTGTGGTTGATTTAGCATTGTGGTTGTATGCTACCACTCAAAAGTTTTGGATTATTCTACTTGTTCTTTGTTAATATTTCCAATATCGTACAGGGATAATACTCTTAATACCCAAAAATGTTCAATCAAATCTTGTATTTTTATCTTTGTTGCCCCATTTTGTCTAGATTCACTGTTTCAGAAATGTTTGTTAAATGGGCACAAACTAATTTCCGCCATTATAAACGGTTAAAATATTTTAAGATTTTGAGGAGTATAACTTGTCTTGTTTTCAAACTTTTGACTGGCGGTGCAAAAACAGCTTTTTTTCACTACAGTGGAAACGTGTGTGTGCTGATATGCTTATTTTGAGAAATAGTGATAGAATTGTGCATGTATTCATTTGTTATGGTAATAAGGGAATAAGTTATATTTGTGGTTTGATGCCTAATGCTTAAATCAGTTGTCGAGGCCTTTTCAAACCTGCAGAGGGAGCTGTAGACCAACTCCAGCCATGTGTTTTATTATTATTATTATTATTAATGCCACTTTATTTATTCATTTTCTGTTTTTTGTTAATTATTTAACTAAATATGTATTTATATGCTTTTGTTTGCACATCATTTCGATTTGTCAGTAGTGTGGTGTTGATGCATTGTCAAGAAATGACTAAAAGCATTATTTATTTCTGAAAACTGTCACCCGTCACACTAAAGGTGCACATGCATCCTTCTGTTCCACTGGCTTTCTGTCTTCTTTTGTTGCTTCTGATTCCCTCCACTTTGAAGCCACAATGAAGCTCCATTTGATATACTTGAAGATGTCGGTGTATTGTCAGGCATTCATTAAAAAAAATAATAATAATCATGGTCAAGTTAAGGTAAGAAGGGGGAAAGATGCGTGCATTTACTGGCAAACGGTACTTTTTAGAGATGAGTTCAGCGTGCACAGGATGATTCTGCATCATACAATCTATTATTAAAGCGATCGTTTATCCAAAGAGGAACATTCTGTCGTTTACTCACCCTCATGTTATTCCATATCTGATTTCCTCATGTGAAACACAAGATATTTTGAAAGAAAGTGTTTTTTTTTTTTTTTTTTAAATATTACAACATGTAAGTTAAGGACATGAGAACAGAATGGGTGAACTATCCCTTTAAGGAATGAGGTAATGGTAATAAGCTATGAATTCATATTGGTTATTCCACTCAACCTTTAGGTTATGATGAATACTTAGGTTTGAAATGTAATTCACAGACTATTCAGGAAAGTTTAAAGCAGCACTATGTCACTTTTGGCACTCTAGAGGTTAATAAACAGAACTGCACACATCCCGCGGAGGAACATTTCAACCGGAGCTACTTCTCTAAGTTTATGTCTCTGGCGATTCACGCAGGTATGTGTTCCTCCGCAGCGGCGACGACCCGACCAGCCTACAATAGTCCAAATATAAGCACTTATTATATGTGTACCGTAGTGATTCGGAATTAGAAAAAAACGCGGTTTGGAAGATGAACTCATGATGTACTCGCTCATTTTGCACATTTTGAAAAATGCAAACAGGAAAAGTTACATAGTGCTGCTTTAACTTTATTATTATGTAAAAAAAAAAAAATCTAAATATCCTGCTGTGTCCACAAATCCCCCATCAACAAATAGAACCAAAGTTTCAGATTACTATTATCCGACGACTAATAATACAATTCAATAATGTTCAGATTTTAAAGTTAAGATTAATATGGTCACAGCCATTTAATAAACATGTTAAAGGGGTGGTTGATTGCGATTTCACTTTTTTTTAACGTTAGTTAGTGTGTGATGTTGCTGTTTGAGCATAAACAATATCTGCAAAGTTACGAAGCTGAAAGTTCAATGCAAACGGAGATATCATCTTTTAAAATTCTGGCAGTTTAAAGCCTACAAAAATGGCTGGTAGGGACTACAACGAGTTACTTCCCGGGTTCATGACATCACAAACCCAGATAAACCCCGCCCCCGGGAACACGCAGCAAAGGGGGCGAGGCCATGCAGCGCTGCTTTAGAGAAGAGGAAGAGAAGACTAGAGGTGCACGTAAAAATCTGTTCATATGTGAATCGCGATTCTGTCTTCTAACGATTCTAATGGATTCACAAGTTTCAAAATCAATGTTCTAAAGCAGCGGTTCTTAATCCTGTTCCTCGCGTCCCCTGCTCTGCACACACTCTGCACCTCTCTCTCTCTCTCTCATTAAGATCATCAGCTCAGTGAATACACTTATTTTCGCATACTATAGTTATGAGAAGCGTTATACATGGTCAATATAACGTGTAAATCCCCACAGACACTCAAATATTGGAGGTATATGATTTCACCGGAGCCTTGGCCGAGTAACTTAGCTGTATACATTCAACAAGCAACTAAAGCCCTGGCCTGATTTTCATGATTAAATATTTGTAAATCTGTTCGAGTGATTGGAAGAGATGCTGAATTTTCCACTAAACAAACTGACGATATCAGTGAAGAGATGTCACCAATCTGACAATCAACAGTCGATTTCTTCAGATAAAATAACTTTTATTTCACAAAAATGTAGATAGAAGAATAATAAAACAGCTTATGTTGTACAGAAAGAAATGTACATTTACTGTGGACGCCTTTGTGTTCACCTTTCCCTGTTTGACAGGCAACAGTAGTTACAAATACATCTGGATTTGACATCATGCATGCAACATTATAAAAAATGCACCGAGGAAACGGGAAATATACACATTTTTAGCATAAAGTCTCTCCATCCTGCCAGTAACAGATGATTGCTGATCGATTGGCTTGTTTGCTTTGGTTGGGTTTTCTGGAATCATGCATCAGTTTCCTTCAGCGCCAGATTGAATTTCTCTTGATGGTCAGTGTGGAGTGACTATAACTCACGCCAGGCCAATAACAACCCTTGATGAGTCGGTTTACAGATGGGATCATAAGATAGAGGTCTAAAAATAAACACAATCAGCTGTGAGAAGATATTTTCAGCATGTTACAGTGTTCAGATGCTTTGCTGAAGTGGTTCTCAACTGGTCACGACCCAAACATGCTGAATGCGAAAAATCCGATGCAACAAACCATACGAGTGTGCATATTGCAATCGCAAGACACTAGCAAATTAGATGCCAAATGCATTGCACGAAAAAAAAAATCTTTTTATATTTTTATGGCTTCCAACATATAGAAACGTTAATATTTTGTGCGTGTAAAACAATTTAGGCCTTATGCTGTTAAAAATTAGTCTACCTTTGTATCAACTTGTTTTCTTTCAATTAGGTTTGGTATTTCTTTTTGGAACTGACTGATCGTAAGTCTCGTTGATCTGAGCTTATGCACCTGGATCATTTTGGCAACGCTCACTCAAAAACGGATTCACTCATAAGCTGATGCATACGCTCAGATCAATGAAGTCTATCAATCAGTTCCAAAAAGAAATACAAAACCTGTGCTAATTTAGAGAAAACAAGTTGACAAAAGTATTGAATCCAATATACATGAGATTTATAAGCAATTTTTTTTGACTAAATTTCCATCCCATCATCCACTTTTTTGGGGGATTTATTTGCTGACATTGCAAGTCAGCAAGTTTTAGCCCAATGCAACAACATTAAAGTAGCATTTTTGGGAAAAAGAAAATCCTTTCCAGGTCAAAATGACGGGAACACGTTGGACGTCCCATGTAAGATCTGGGTCCTGAAACAAAACCAGCTGAGAACCAGCGATTTACTGGATGCTGCTGATCATCAAGCCAATCAAATCCGAAATGCAGCCTAAATTAACATACCAACCAAATCTATATATTCTCCACATGCAGGACAACTTTAATCAAAGCAGGGAAAGAAGACCGATTATACTGATTAAACCAAGAGTATAGTCTCAAATATGACTGACTGACAAAACACTTATTTTTTCTTACATTGGGAAACTATGCATAAATGATTCACTGTTCAATCATAAAGTGAAGGATCATCAGAGCACCAATCCCATAGGCCACGTACAGCATGGATACTACAAAAACACGAATCATCTTGCTGGTGGAACAGAAAGAGGCAAAACGTTAAGGCACACGAACGGCAGAGGTTATGAGCAAATGGTGCCAAAATCTGGCCAAAAAAAAAAGACATCTGCCAAAGATCTTCAATGAATTATCAGGATTATCAAGAAGAAATGATCACAGTGACATATTTGTAAAAAAAATCGTCCATTATTTTTAGTTGCACTTTTGGTCTTTATATAACATTGCTGTTATCAAAAAGAAACCCAAATGCATATTTAATTTGGTGCCAAAGCCAGAATTGGAATTTGCATTTTTTTTATTTGATTGAAAAAAAAAAAAAAAAGATACATATGGAAGCTTTTTTACCATGGGGGGGGGGGAATCACAATTCTGACTTTTTTTTCCTCACAATTCTGAGTTTGAGTTTATATCTCACCATTTTGACCTTTCTTCTCGCAATTTTGACTTGAGATACTTTATTAAGTCAGAATTGCAAGATATAAACTACAAATTGCAAACTCACACTTCCAAGGAAAAAAGAAAGAAAAAAACTAAATTGCGAGATATCGTCAATTCTGAGAGGTGGGAATTATGAGATTTAAAACTCGCAATGTTTTATTTTTTTGCACAAAATTGTGAAAATGTAAACTCAGAATTGTGAGAAAAAAGAATTGTGTGATATCAACTTAGAATTGTGAGGGGGAAAAAAGTCAGAATTGCAGGGAAAAAAAAGAATTGTGAGATGTGGACTTAGAATAAAAAAAAAACAGAACTGCGAGATAAAAAAAAAAAAGTCACAATTACCGTTTTCATAGTTTTTTATCCCACAGATAAAAACGAAACAAAACAAGCTTCCGTAGATACATATTCCAGACTTGACAATAACCGCTTTACGTCTTTCTTTGGACAACCGTGCTTAGTTTTGTTTATTTGTACCTATAGGAAAGATATGCATACTAAAATCTTATAATTCAATAAAATCATATATTTTAAAAGAACTACACAAATGCATGCATTGAGCTTTATGTCACTGGAGAGCAATGTACAACAGACCAGTATGCTGTATACAAACTATCATACAATATAACTGCATACATGTATAACAATATCATTTTATAGATGAGCTTCAATAGAATTTAATATCGTGAATATCTATTAGCTTCAACATAGAAACAATCAGCTTTAATCACCTTACACATGTGTATATGTGACACTGTAAGACTGGTTTACATTCATGTCTCCATTCAATGCAGAGAAAATGCCCCAAAAAAAAAAGTCAAGAGAAATGAAATGCATTTATTGCATTGAAGTCCTGTTTTGTTGAACGCCAGCTCACTTGAAGTTACGTGTTTGCTGGCGTTTACGGTCAAGACATGAAATCCGAGGCTGATGTCATGATGAAATGCATTTTATGGGAGTTTATTACTGAGAACTTGATGCTTTAGATGGTTAGAAACTAACCAGATGAAGCCAATCAACTGCAGATGTGTCCACCTGTCATGAGCGCCGAGAAGAAATCATGCAGGAAGAAAGACAAAGCAGTCTTTGTCTCTCCACAGAAAGACCACCGCGTCCATCGCTGGAGAGCCAAGACAGCCAACTTTCTGTCTTCCAAAGATAGCAGCTGTCTAAAGCTTACAGAGTGTCTTTTTCGCCAGCCACTTTCTCCATAATGCCCCGTATGCTGTGCACATCCGGCCAAACGAGGCTTTTCACAGCACTGCATGTGTCACAAGTGGAGTCCAGTGGAGTGCGGGGGATATCGGGAAGAAAGAGCAATCCAAAAATATGTTTTTCATTGTCCAAGAATTTGCTGTGAGCAGAGAAAAGTAAAGGAGGAAGGAAATCCTTGTGTTTTTCCATTGCATTGTGCTACATTAGAGACTGTACATGTTCACAGTGCACGCGACTCAGAGCCCATCCTCTGAGAGGCCGAGAGGAGAGGTGGATTGTGGGTAATGGAGTCTGTCAGTGGTGCTGATTCCCTATACTGATGCCCTATGAGGGCCGAACTGAAGAGGGCCATCTTCTCAAATCTAAGTTAGAGTTAAACAACAAAATTAAACACTTTAAGAGCAACAATTCTGTAACAAAACAATGTGATGCAAAATACACTACTGTTCAAAATTTGGGGGTCAAATTATATTTATTTAAGAAATTCATATTTCTATTTAGTAAGGATGCATTAAATTGATCAAAAGACATTTAAATGTTATAAAAGATTTCTGTCAAATAAATGCTGTTCTTTTGATTTAGCATGGTTTTCACAAAAATATTTAGCAGCACAACAGTTTTCCACATTGATAATAATTATCATATTATGATTTCTGAAGGATCACGTGACACTAAAGACTGGAGTAATGATGCTGGAAATTCAGCTTTGATCACAGAAATACATTATATTTTACAATATACTCACATATAACTCAGTTATTTTAAAATGTAATAATATTTCACAATATTACCGTTTTTACTGTATTTTTGATCAAATAAATACAGCTTTAATGAGCATAAGAAACGTCTTTCGAAAACATCACAAAATATTACTGACCCCAAACGGTAGTGTATTTTGGTGTATATTTTGTATTTTCGCTTTGAACGAGATATTTTATATTGTCCTACAACTTCTGTTTAAATAATAATAATATTAAATTAATTGAAAAAATAGAACAGAAATTAAAACAGTTCATGCAAAAATATACATTTTATAATCATTTATCCACCCTCATGTCTTTTGAAACATGAATACTGTTTTCTTTTTAATAAAAAAAACACTAAACTAAATAAATAACAGCATACATATTTGGAATGACACGAGTGTGAGTAAATAATGACAATGTTCATTTCCATTCAACTATTAATTATTACATCGTGTGGGAGCATTAGGAAGATCACGGGCTAATATAGAGCAGGCGTCTCATATAAATCATCGTGTTTACATCTTCACATTTTCCCACTTGAGCCACAAAGATGTAAAGATGAATCAAAAGTCACATAGTTCAAAGCGAACAGATGCTGTTTATGTCTATGTCTTCAGGTTTTTGCTAGACTCATTTACAACATTCAAAGCTCATATAAAGTAGACTAGAAGCTAGCTATTACTGTAAATGGATCATGTGCTGTAAAGCAGAGTATCTGTCCTAATCAATAACGGCGAATGAACACTGCAGCTAAATATGATCGTCACTCCTCTTTCGAGAGCATCTGTACTCACACACGACCTCATTCATACATCAGCAAAACCGATTTATGTCAATCATAGATAAAAGCATTCCTATGTAACATTTCCATGTCGATCACCCCCTTAGTTAACATTACTAACTCAAACGAACATAATGGTCCATTTCTACATGCGTGCACTATGATAATGTGAACTCTTTAGCTGCTATCAGCATTAACATGACATAAAATTAATATTTTAATCACTTAATGGTAAGTTATTTGTGTTATTATAAAAAGAGGTGTCTATTTTGAACAACTTGGCTGAGGTAGGATGCTAGTGAAATACAGAAACAGAGGGATTTGTCTTGACTCGTTTGTAAATTACTGTCTCCGCAGACGTGTCTTGCAGCAGTACTGCGGTCTATCTGCAAACCACATTAAACTACGGTACAGAAAGAGCGTGCTATTTAAAAGCAGTGACACGACAACAACATAAACAACACATTCGCCTGTTGACGATAGTTTACAAACAATAAAACATCTCAAGTCGCTAATATTACTCGGAATTATCGGATTACGCTGTTTCTTGTTCATAGCCGCAAGATGCCAAAACATTTCTTATGTCTAGCATCAGGAGTTCAGGAGTGACTATTATATTCCATACACACCCGAAACAATCATTTAGGGGATTCACTCCCACATTAATATGCTGTTCTCTCTCTCAAAATCTGCAGTGTGTATGTGACCTTTTGATGGTTTCCATTCAGGATGGACTTCCTTGAATCTAAGGAAAAGTCTAGAAGTCAGGTTGGTTTTGTTGACTGCATTTTTGACTGAGTTTGTTTTCTGTGCAGTAAAAATGGAGGACAGCCAACCAATGGTATATTCAAAGTATCAACATAGTAACCATAAATGGATCGGTTAGCATGCTTTCTATTTAAAAGACTGTTTAAACTGAGATGGGCCAATCGCCAAAACAGCAGACGGAGGGAATGTCAGAATGCCGCCAGCTTACTTTAGATCGGTATGGACTTCATCTTCACCATGGAAGCCAGTTCTTGTTTCTTCACATTGTCCTGTCTTCTCTGTCTGACCCTATAAAGGGAACAATTAAGAGATCAAATAACAGATTGTCTCATGTCTCTGTCTAATTGTTGCAACCTGTTTGTATGGATTTAGTTATGAAATATAGATGTGTAAATAAAGCAGAATTACTACCATAGAAGTGTGATGATAGTTAATAACATAGCCACCATGACCGCTGCAAACAGACCCAACAAAATCAACAGTCCGAGGCTTCCAGTCTGGTGTAACGATGAATCTGAAGCAAAAACAAAACACAAACTTAAACAAAATGAAACACAAAATAAAGCACGCACGCATGCACACACACACACACACACACACAAAACAACACAAACAAATAAATCAAAATAACAAAATAAAAGAAATAGACAGAAAACACAACACAAAAAACAACAGTACAACACAAAACAGAACAAAACAAAACACAAATAATTAAAACAAATAAAACTAAATAACAAAACTAAATAAATAAACAAAAAAAAACACAACATAACACAAAAAAAGAGTACAGCAGCACAAAACACAACAACACAAACAAATAAATCAAAATAGTAAAACAAAAGAAATAAACAAAAAAACACAACAACACAAATAAACAAAACACAAATAATTAAAACAAATAAAACAAAATGACAAAACAAAAGAAAAAGAAAAACACAACATAACACAAACAAAGAGTACAACAGCACAAAACACAACACAAACAAATAAATCAAAATAAATAAACAAAAAACACAACAACACAAATAAACAAAACACAACAAATCAAAATAAATAAACAAAAAAAAACACAACAACACAAATAAACAAAACACAACAAATCAAAATAAATAAACAAAAAAAAACACAACAACACAAATAAACAAAACACAAAACACAACAAAACACAACAACACAAACAAATAAATCAAAATAACAAAACAAAAGAAATAAACAAAAAAACACAACAACAAATAAACAAAAAACAAAACAAAACACAAATAATTAAAACAAATAAAACAAAATATCAAAACAAAATAAATAAACAAAAACAAACAAACAAACAAAAATAGTACAACAGCACAAAACACAAACAAATAAAAGCTCAAACTCTTCTGATAATTTTATGGTCACTACATAATTTACCAATTATTTCAATTATATATTATAAGGATATATTATATTCAATTGAGTCAATTATACAAACTTCATTCCAGTCTTGAGCTGATAAATATGACTCTTGCGATCATACAGCGTGTTCTAGATGAGTGGTTATAAATAAATGGCCTGGAAACAGTTAGCTAATGAAGAGCAGACTGAGTCATGCTGGTCTGCCACATGACTGCATTAGGGAAGACTGGCACGCTTTGATTGGTCAGAGCCAGATGATGGGGGAAACTCCGCCCACCACAAATAAGCCCAAACCATCTGGATAACGCTTAGGGGGTGAAAAAACTCTGGCTACGATCTCGAAAGCATCTGATATCGTGTGTTTAATCTGTGAATGCGTATAACGATCCCTGCCAAAACATATGAGTGAAAAGATAAACTGTCAAACAGAGAAACAACGTTGCAGTTTTAACAAAATCCTCAGAATTCCTTCAACGTACGGTGTATCAAATCTAAAGCAATTACCTGGAGACTTGTCTGTCGTCCTCACTGGAAATGAGTTGAAAAATGGAAAGCTAAAATCCACCGGTTCCTCTGTTGGCTCTTTCCAAGGCTCTAAAATTGCAAAACAAATATAATTATATATATTTATACTGCTTCTGAATTATTCATGACCGGCTCTGCTCAAAAGTCATGTCAGGTTTCCCCTTGACAATCCAAAGCTCATAATTGCATTTACTTTCATGCAGTGGACAGCACTGAACGATAACCAGTGAGGACAAAACATTATTCTGCTGCTACATTTATTATTTTTTATTGTACAGCAAGACTGACGTAAATAGACAGCTCCATTGTAGTGTATTGTGTGCTACTCAAACACAAAGCATGTTAAAAAATAAATAAATAAATCTTCTGACCATGAGTTGCCAACATCCAGATGATTATCTTCCTTTATTAGATTTATCAGATATCTGCCTTAGAACAATATCCTGAAGGACCATGCTAGCTGTGCACAATTTGATTACATTAGCTATCTGAAGGATCTGATGGATGATGGGTCATATATAGTACATTAAAGCACTTCTCAAAAAAGATTGATACATTTTTATCAATTTATTTGTGATTAGTTGTGTGGATTACGAGTTAATTAAACGCATTGGGCAGAAAGCCTGTTTTGAACATAATCAGTTAGCATATGGATGGTTGATTTCTCTAGACTGGTTTATTTTAAACTGCCTCGTGGTGTGACAAATTAGTTTAGAAATATTAGAATATTGGAATATTTAACACTTTAACATTTAATCTTTACAGTAAGGTTCTATTTGTTAGCATTAGTTAACATGAACTAAAAATACATCTAAAGCATTTATTCATTTTAATTAATGTCAACATTTGCTAATTTACTAATTATTAATTATTAAAATCAAAAGTTGTATATGTTAATATTATTTATTAGACGTAGGCAAACATTAAAAATTAATAGTTGTGTTTTATATTAACATTAACAAAGATTAATAAATACTGCAACAAATGTATGGCTCATTGTTAATAATGTTAGTTAATGCATTAACTAATGTTAACTAATGGAACCTTACTGAAATAATATTCCATCTAGTATCTCAACAGTCACACTTTAGTTTAGAGACAATTCTCACTATTAACAAACTATTAACTTGACTTTTGCCACAGTAAACTCCTAATTTGCTAATTAAAGGATCTAAAATATGGTAATGCAGAATGAGGCATTAATATGGTCTTTATAAGTGCTAATAAACAGCCAACATGCTAGTAATATGCATGCTAATAAACAACTAGTTAATAGTAAGAATTGGTCCCTAAACTAAAGTGTTACCATCTCAACTAATAAGAGCTCAATGCAAAAATGCATGCATAATAATTATAACACAAACTGAAAAATGTTGTCTAAGATTTCTACACATATAAACATAACTTAAAAAATATATATTTTCTATTTCTGGTCATGTCATGCCTGCCACTGGTGCATAACACTGACTGCATAATTAAATGACACTGGTTACGTTCGTCAGTTAGAGTTAATATGTGTGAGGTAAGTGTGTGTGTGTGTGTGTGTGTGTGTGTGTGTGTGAGTGTGTGTTCACTCACCGATCCACGGCTGGGCTTCTACCACATGACTCCATTCACTCCACTGGCTGTGGTTGATCAGGGCGTCCTGAGCTCTGATCTGGATCTGATGCAGGCTACCCACTAGAGCGTCCATGATCTTTAGGCTTGTGTTCTCCTCTGTCTCCAGCTGAGGAAAGATCAACAGATGCATCCACTTAACAGAGGATATATATCAGGGCTGGACTGGGATGCAATTTCAGGCCAGGAAATCTCACACTCATCCAGGCCACACAAAAAAAAAAGGGCCAAAATGTTACCTTTTTGGTTACAACAGCTTGTCACCTAGCAGTGCACCATACATATTAGTACCTTAAGAGTAGTAATTCGTACCCTTAAGGTACTAATTTGTAGGCCTACCTATTAGGGGTAAAAAAGGAACAAATATGTTCTTTTAAGAGTCCTGTTCCAGTGACAAGCTGATGTACCCCAAAAGGTGCAATTGGCCCCTTTGGCCCCTTATTTCTCCCGGTGCTCCCGATGGTCAAATCATGCTAGATAACCAGACCATAAGGTCTTGGTTATGTCATCTTAAGTGATGCTATCATTCATGATTTAATCATCTAAATTTTATTTATTAATTTATTACAAAAGAATTAGAATTATTATATTACAATTTTTCTATTATTCTATACAACTATTATATATTTTTTTCACCTGAGGTGTTCTGCCAAAAATAAAATTAGTAACAAAAATGTTAATATATAATGTTTTTTTTTATAAACATTTCCTATTATTATCAATGCTGAAAACGGTTGTGTTGCTTCATATTTTTGTGGAAACTGATACATTTTTCAGTATTCTTTGATAAATAGAAAGATGAAAGAACGGTGTTTATTTGAAACAGAAATCTTTTGTAACATTATAAATGTCTTAACTGTCACTTTTAATCAATGTTATGTTTCCTTGCTGAATAAAAGCATTAATTTCTTTAAATCACAAACAAACACACACACACACACTTTTCTCTTTTGGAACACAACGTGACAGCAGTTTTGCCTGTTTTGGTTTTCATTCATTTTATTAAAGCAAAAACAAAAATGAGCATGTTTATAACTGGCTAGCTTCATCACTTGTCAGACAAAGCATAAACAACCCTTACAGTGGCGCAAACACACACACACACACACACACACAGAGCTCTGGAGACAGCAAACATCTGGTTGTCTGATGAAAGGCCAAGCAGCCTGGTGAAAGCAGATAAGATCAGCCTATGCAGAGATGACTATGGGGCTCTGAGATAAGACAACACTGTGTGTGTGTGTGTGTGTGTGTGTGTGTGTGTGCTGAGAGGGCTGGACTACAGGACTGTTTATTGAAGACTCATATGAAATGAGGGTTGTATTATTTCAATATTTTTTGTGAATATATTAAATATATTTTTTTAGGATTCTTTGATGAATAAAAAAATTAACATGCTCAACAAGTGCATCATATTCAAACATTACAAATGTCTTTACTAAGACTTTTGATCAATTTAATATGTGTTTGCAGAATAAAAGTATTAATTTCTCACTGTATAAAATCTTATTGACCCCCCCCCCCCACACACACACACTTTTGAACAGTAGTGTATATATCAAAAGTTAAATAAAATACTAACACTTTATGTTAAGGTTACATTTACATTATTTAACTATATTAGTTAAAACACACACAATACTTAAACAGCATTTACTAATCTTAGTTAATGTTAAGTTAAAATTTGACTAATGCATTATTAACATTAAAGGTAACACTTTAGTAGACGGACCAATTCTTACTGTTAACTAGTTGTTTATTAGCATGCATATTACTAGCATATTGACTGGTTATTAGTACTTATAAAGCACATATTAATGGCTTATTCTGCATGACCGTATTTTAGATCCACTAATTCAACCCATACCTAAACTTAGCAACTACCTTACTAACTATTAATAAGCAGCAAATTAGGAGTTTATTGAGGCAAAACTCTTAGTTAATAGTGAATATGTGTTCCCTATTCTAAAGTGTTACCACAAAGGTTCATAAATGCGGTCAAATATATTGTTCACTGTTAGTCCATGTTAGTTAATGCAATAACTAATGTTAACAAATGAGACCTTATAGTAAATAGATAGATAGATTCATTTTCAATATGATTATTATACCCAAAACGAGATGAGACCGCACCTGTAGGAGGTTCTGTATAATGTGGGCAGGTGTGTTGTCTTAGTTTGTACCCAGGAGCAGTAGATTTTCATATGATTCGGCACACGACAAGACACTCTGACGAAATGAGGCGGATCTAAAAGAAGAAGAAGACAAAAAATATCTCATGAGCTAACTTTAGACACAATACACTTTATCTGTGAACATCCAAACAGACAGACTGCACAAGACGGCTGTTTAACTCGAGCGCTGCCTTCAAGAAGATGAGGGTCCGTAATACGGTAGACTAAACTTATACACACGCTAGAACCAGCAATCTCAACCCTTCCTAGCAGGAAACTGTGGAGCTGTGATTCAAGGACTTCCTGTTAGAGGAAGTGCCCCGAGTTAAACAGCAAGGGCGTACAACTGCACACTTTCTTCATCTCCCAGGGCACAGAGTGCTTCCTTTTTACTAGAACATTTCCACCGTTTCCGGCATTTCCAGCACCACTTCGGAGGCACTGAGCAATTATGAGACGTATATACAGTTCGAGATACCAACATTTCAGTTGTCAATACCAATGTCAATGAGTGTCCTTCTTTAAAGCATGGCAAAAGTTTATAAAACATGATGATTTAAAACATACGTTAAAGTAAAAATTTGTATTTGATATTAGACACTCTTTCCCAAATAAGCACCATTTTAGAGGTCTCAGGCACACATATGCTCTTCTAGGATGTGATCCGAGATGAAGTTCGCAATGAGTCAAGAGCACGATTCAAAGATTATCAGGTCCGTTATGTTTATGTTGCTACAACACTTTCATTTGTTCAAGCCAACAATGTTCTTAAGATGACGTTTTCAATCAGAAGCAATGGAACTTAGTCGTGGTAGATGCCATATTAAATTTAAGAGTAATGAAAACGAGGCTGCGAGGGATAAACATATAGTCTGTTCAATTAATCAATAATAATACTTTTTTTGGCTAAGTGATTGACACCAAGGCACAAGGTACAATAGTACATCTATTCATTGTGGCCTAGTTTTCATTAACATTAAATCAAATATGTCATCTACTTTAAGGCAATTCTTTAAACCGTTATCCTCAAATAGTTTATCAAATGAACCACATTGTGAGTCAAAACACGAAACAACGACTCTTGTATCGTTGAAGCTGACTTACGACCCAGGCGTAGTTTGATGGACTGCAGTAAAGTTCCTCGTTCACCATAGCAGCTGTAGTTGCCTTCCATCGAGTGTGTGGTGTTCAGTAGCGTAAGCGAGCCCTTGTGTGTTTGCCACGGCGGTACTGAGCTCCCATTCAACCGCCATTCCACTGGAGACCTGCGAACCCATCCACAACTCAGAGTCAACAACAACCTTCACTTTCTGCTTTCCTTGCAAACCTGCTCTAATCAAAGATAGGCCTACAAAATAACCGCTATCAAAGCCAACTGGACCTGCGTATCCTGTTACTCATTCGTGTGTTGTGCAAATCTTATTTTTGGCACTGGGATTATCTTGGACAGTGTCTTTATTGGCAAGAAATATGCATTTATTTGAAACACAAGGCTTGCCAAAATCTGACGCTGGGGAGTGAAGCCCCCCCCCCCCCCCCCCCCCCCCCCCCCCCCCCCCCACCCACAGTAAATAGCCTTGATGTGTCCAAACCCTATATGGACTGGCTCTGTGCCCCTACAGAGGGTGGTTAAGCCCACTATTATCACTCCTTACAGGAAAGCTTAGCTCTGGAGTCTAATGGAGCTCTAGCAAGGTTTAATATAGACTGGGGAACATACCCGCCGTGAGCGCCTCTGCATGTGAGTGTGACCCTGGAGCCCAGTCCACCGAACTGGACGTCTGAAACTGAAAGCAGGAGACATGTGAGCTGCTCTATTCCAGAAGTGACAAGAGACATCTCATCAAGGGATTATGTTATCAACCAGCCAGTGGTACATAAATAAAATATGTAAAATAAATAAAATACAAATATATAAGTATTAGGGCAATCAAAGTTAACATGTTAAACACATGCAATGCATTTATTTATTTAGCCATTTACACATTTATACACGTATCGATTCATAATTTATGTCTCAACTGAAATATCATCCAAGTGAAATATCACATTAACAGTGTATAAACATCATCTTCATCCTCCTGTATAAACACCTTTACACACGTAAGATTGAGACCAAAAAGTGGTGGGGAAAGTGTGTTTATTTGATTTGTTGCTGATTTGCATGCCATGTGTGTTTCGGTGTAGTTTAAGTCCGAATTATGTTCAGATATGTATAATTACATGGTAATTATACAGTTTAAATGCTTATTACACAGCTCTGTGGCATACTTGATTCTGATTGGTCAGTTGCGACATTCCGAGGTCTGTTCTCCCTCGAAAACAAGCAGTAAAAACGAATAACACAAGCTCATCCGGGTAACTGAAGCCGGCGCTATACTGCCAGGAACAGTTTTTTTCTTGGTGGAAGCTTTGCGTTTGGTTAGCCAATAAAATATTAAAACTCGATTCAGAATTGTGTACAATTATTTAATTATGTCATCCTGGTATCGCGGACTTACTCTCTCGTTTCATACAAACGCAGCTGCTGCAATTTTGCTACGGTTGTTTTGTACGCTGTAATGGATTATAAGATAACTAACAAACTGGTAAGATTTTAAAACATTTTCGTCTTAAATCTTTTATCGCCATATTTATTTATGTGGTGAAATGTTGTGTAACTGCACCGTATCCCTTAAATGTCTGTCTAGTTTGAACTTGCCGCTTACTCGCTACTGCTGTGTTCACGGAAACTTTGTGTTCAAATATTTCAACTCAAATCAATATTTTGTGTCTAATTATTTACTTATGAGGCAAGCAGCCGTGTAATAAGTGGGATAATGTACATCTAGCCGGTTGTTATCGCTGAATAACCCCCATTCAGGGTGATCCAGTCGGGGGTTATTCTGCGATAACAACCGACTGGATGAACATTATCCCTTACATATACCGCAAAGACTGACATACATGCAGACTAATAAAGATATATATTTTTTTCATTTAAAAAGAAACTAAATGTGCTACAAAATACTACAAAAAAAACATATCCATTAAATAATTAACTAACATCTCTAAATACAATATATTGTAATTTCTTAAATATAAAATGTAATCAATTTATATGATGAATTGCATACATATTTTTGTGGAAAGTTACTTCAATCAAAAAACGTAAAGATTGCAAACTTTTGAATGGTTGTGTATATTTATGTGTATTTGTATTTTGGTTTTCATCAAAATTTTTATTGATTTTCATAGTTTTATTATGAATGATTTATAAATAATAATAGCTCATAAGTGTGATTGTTTTTCTACTTTTCCAAACATTCTTTATTTTATTTCATTTTTATTTTTTTGTAGTATTTATTATGATTATTATTGTATTATTATTGTACAGTCAGGCCTGTTCTTGGCCAGAATGAGTTGAAAAGTAGGCCAGACTTTGTGCTGATATTTAATAGTCAGGCTGAGACTATCATGCAATTATTTTGCAATGGGAGCTTGACTGTATTTCAACGACTTTAAATTATATACAGCTTGACAAGCTCCAGTTGTTAAGAGTTAAGGGTTGCTTCCTCAAAAACTGCACCGCTTCATCCGTGCATCATTATAAGGCTTGCAGTGATTCTATAGCAAGAATCAAGGTGTTTACGTTACTGTGCTTTTCTGCCTAGTCAGATTTCAGTATTTATATCAGCCATTTACTGCCAAGAGTTAAACAAAGAGCAAACACACACATGCACACTGCGAGTGGAGTCGATCCAGTGCCCAGGGTCCAATTGCGCGCAAGAAACGCTCATGCTCAATGTCGGCTTTCAGGAAATACTGGCAAAAGCATTTTATTTGAAATCCCACCACATTTCTCAAATTTCTCCCTCTCTGGCCAGCGAAATCGCAGCCATAACACACACAGACCAGAGCTGCATGCATTAATTGAGCAATCCATATGCGGGGCAATGGAGAACTGGGGACTTTAAACAGAGATGTTTATTGTTCCACAAAACAAAGCCATGGCTATGTTCCTGGTCTGGATTCAAATCTAATTGTCACATGATAGAACTTGATGCTATCTGCTCTAGTTGTTCTGTATAATATCATCCTGCTTTGTCAACAAAGAAACGCTACAAAGACTTGTGACGAGGTCCATATGCTGGAACGCAAATCCAAATACTAACAGCAACAACATTTGAATGCTAACGTGGTTTTATGCTATCGGTTTACTGTAGTTTCGGTCAAATAAATGCAGTCTTGGCGAGCAGAAGAGACTTTTCCCAAAACATTTTCAAAAATCTGATGAAACGGGCATTATACCAAAGACTTTAGGGACTTTGGTTAAACTTTTGAAACCACACATTATTGTTATTTCTGTGTTACAAACCTTTTAACAACAGAATAACTGGGATAAAAGTTTATAGTTTGATGTCTACGGTAGCAAAATAGAGTAAAATGAACTTTTTGAAAGCCTTTTTACACTTGTATGTGTTGTATAGTTTATCTCTGTACGCCTGTAGCTGGTAGCAAGTATTTGTCACTGAATCATTAATTCAAGAGATTTATTCACAAACGCTGATTCATCCAACAAGGAAACAAGTCTTTATGAATGAGACATTGACTCATTCATTAAAATGATTCTTTAATTATTTTGTTCAAATTAATATGTTTTTGGTGGAACCTCTATAAATTACATGTTATTTTGCTTAGCCTGTTTTGTTTTCTTCAGATCCGGGGGAGCATCGTGATCTCAATTTTAATTTGGGGCCATTTCTTCCAAGGAGGCAAGGGAGGCGGTGCCTTCTCAAAAAACTGGATGAGAAAATAATAAATAGTACAAAACTAAAACTATGCAAATCTTACAAAATATGAGATTAAAAAGCAGCTCCCCTGAGAGTGAATGGGGGAATGTTACATGAGAGGAGGCAATGCCTCCATCGCGCTACGATTGGGTCATGCGATAAATCCTGCATCTTGTTTGTTTTTGGATTTTGCTTTTGCACAAACTTTTGCATTTTGGCTGTTCGTTTACACAACAAAGGTGTTTTGGCGGCCTGAAAATGGGTTTTGAAAATGGGTTTTAAAGTGCAAGTGTTTTGAAAACAATACCATTATGGTCTCTGTGTAAATGTGAATTTGTGAAAATGGTGATGTTGCCACCTACTGGCCTGGAGTGAATAATACAGTGTTTTAGTTATTTTTGTGGATCCATGTGAACAGGGGTCGTTTTGACAACATTGTTGTCTGTAAGCAAAACTTTTCAAAAACACAAAGGAAAAACGTTTTAGTACAATCGTTGTTGTGTCAACGTACCTTTAGGTATCACCGCTTTGTCACTTCAAAATAAAACTTGAAATAACATGATCTGTGGGGGTTTTAGTGATCAATCAGCTTGAAATTAAAGGTACATCTCCATTTCTTTGACCAGTGTTTACCGAGCTTTGATGACTGATGACCTAAAAATAATTTGATTATTAAAACAAACAGCTGAACATCAGCTTACAAATAAGATATATTGTTTAAACTGCTACTGCTTTGAGTTCTTATTTTGGAATAAATGTGACCCGTGCTGGCAAAATGAGTGGGAATTAGCACAGGCTAATTTTGAGCTACAGGTAAAAAAAAGTGAAAAAAAGTGTTGATTTTGAGGTTTTCACAAAAATGAGTTCATTAAGCCCTCATCTATCAATCCCAATGCTCACAATAATAATTTTAGATGTTTAATTACCTGTATTTGTACGTTTTCTGAGAGGAGTACCTTTTCTCCGCTCGTTTCTCGCGCTGACTGTCATCCGAAGCGCAGATATAAAGGCGTTTCCGACTGTGTGCGATCTCGATAAATATACACATACTCAGAGTTACAATATTTAAGTATTCACGCCAATATAATCTGTTATGTCTTAAGTAAACATTTGGGGAACTGTTGGGGGAAAACATCTGATGTGTAACATTATATTAGATCCGTGCATTACAGTAGGTCTTAATATAGGCCGACTCATTAATGTTAATCTAACGATAAAAGAAAAGAGTGAATCACTCGCTGCTCTTGATTTAACTGCTTTTTGTAGTTGTAATAATTAATTTATTTGTAATAAACACAGTAAAGGGATTTTTACATTTGGCTATTTGTTTTTGTTGAATTCTATTGTTTAGATGTAAAATGAAAAAGGTAATGCACTTTTGTTTTTTTTCTTATATTTGTTCTATATAAAAATTGCTAAATTGTGATTATTAATATAGTAATTATTATTAAGAAAAGAAGTGGAGGAAAAGTTGGAGTGGAGCAACGTTGTGGAGCAACGTTGCAGGGGATTTTGCTTTGGAACCTTCAGAAAACTTTAACTCGATTTTTCTCAAAATTGACTTTGCTGATTCTTATCGACTTCATGGGTGTGTTTTGGGTGTAATAAACCAATCAGAGTCTCATCTCCCATTCCGTTTAAAAGCCAGTTGTGCTCACGCCATGGCGGATTCGCTATTTACATGGCGGAATTTGCAAGCGCAAAGACAGAACGCATCTCCAGAGAGGAAATAAACCATTTACGGGGCACAATAATAATCTTTCACATTGTAATCCTTTCATTTTTAATATTTGGCATGTTTGTGTGCTGCTGCGCATCCCTGTGTGTGTAATAAGCAGAGTGTACAGGCATTGTTCACCTGCCTATAGGCGCATATTATTAATGTGCTCTTTAATTAACAAAAAAATATAAATTGCACCATTGACTTCAGACCAGGTCTCAGTTGGTCATAAGTGCAGTCTATTTCAGTTGCCTCAAAATAGCAATGTGCCAACAATGCGCCTGAACACACCTCGTTTTCAGACCAGCACGCCCATGGGCGCACAAATGGGTGCAAATTAATTTGCTATTTAAACAACGTGGCGCAGGACATGAAAATGATAACTGCGTCGGGCTGAAACTAGCAAAAAACACTTGTGTCGCGCCGCATTGCGCCGGGTGTATGATAGGGCCCTGTATGCGACTTGAAAATTTGATGAGATCCTTTTTTTTCCCTGGTATGGATTAAAATGAACCTTGCGCATTCTAAACCTTTTGGCTATCTGGTGTAGTCGCCATTAAAAAAAAACCTAACCCTAACAAAATGTGATTATTTTAAAGGGGGTGATTGTTTTGTATGCCCACTGTACGCGTGGCTGGAATTTGGCTAGCAGGCATCATTTTATGAGAAACGGATGCTTCTAAAACCTGATGAAAAGCAAAGTAAATGCAGGAAACATCTTCACAATCCAAGACCCTAAGTCACTAAACCTCACAACAAGACTAGGGAGAGTTCATTAATGGTGGAAAAGTATTGCCAAATGTAAGTGATAAAATGAAAGTGAAAGTTATGAACATTAAATAACTGAAATAATAAACAAATCTTTTTCCTATTTTCTTTTTAATACGCAAACCTCAAATTTCAACAGTATATGGCATTAGAAAACAATAACAATGATAAATTAATGCAATTTAATTAATGACTTTTTTAAATTGGGTAACACTTTATAATTAGGTTCCATTAATTAACATCATATATTACATTAGTCAACATGAACTAACGATGAAAAACTATTCTAAGCCATTTATTAACATTGGGTAATGTTAATTTCAACATTTTCTAATGCATTATAATCAAAAGTTGTATCTATTAATATTACTTAATGGATCTAATGTGAACAAATAATGAAAAGTTGTATTTTTATTAACTACAAAAACAAAGATTAACAAATGCTGTAACAACTGTAGTGCTCATTGTTGCTCATTAATGCATTAACTAATGTTACTTAATTGGACCTTATTGTAAAGTGTTACCGATATGTGCTCTATAATGCTGGAAGTTTTTCAAGCTGAAATTTAAAGCAGAAATGTTTGATGTAAGAATTAAAATACAGTTACAGTACACATTGTTGCTCAATGTTCACTTCAATGCTTATTTTTACTTCAGAGCATCACCTTCCCATATTTAGCTTCAGACAGAACATAAATTTGTCAATGAAATCACATTGTCTCAATGACTCACACATAATGATGCATCAACCGCTGTCAGTCTGGACAAGTGATGTGCTAAAACCACAATGTGTGGTGATTTACACAATCAAAACAAAGGGCAGCTTTTTATATAGAAAATAATGTCATTTTTAAACTGCACAACTGTCACACTCTTGTGAAGGGAGGCACACAAAGACGAAGGTAATCCAAATAACATTTAATAGTAATCCAAGATGATGAACATTCATACAAAACACAGGGTAACACAAGCAGCATACACAACTAATAACCGACAGCTAACTGAACTGAAAGGGGAACTTTAGTAGGGTGAGATAACGAGGGACAGACAGGTGAGGATGACAATTAATCAAACACAGGTGAACTGAATTAACTAATCAAAAGGACGACAGAAACTAAATGAAAACACAAAAGAAGTCCATGACTGTGACAGTACCCCCCGCCAGCTAGGTGTGACTTTGCGCTGTAACAAAAACAAAAAAGGAGGGACGGAGGGGACTAAGGAGGAGGACAAAGGAGCGGAGTTGGGATGGTAACAGGGGATGGCGAAGGGCAGGCAAGTGGATGACCAAGGTGGCGACGATGGAGGGAGGAACCATGCCGGATCAGATGGAGGAAGGAGCCAGGACAGATCAGACGGAGGGAGGGAGCCGATGGAGGGAGGAGCCATGGTGGAGGAATGGCTGATGACTCCAGGGGACCGACCAACAGTGGCAGAGTAGGTGGGAGAGGAGCCCGGGGCGGAGACGGAGAGCCAACGAGCCAGGACGACGGGAGGATCCGGAGGGCCAGGCGGAGCAGATGGCTCAGGCGACTGAGGCGTAGGTGGGGATCTGGAAGGCCGCGGTGGAGCCAGAGTAACAGAGGACCAAGGTGGAGCTGGAGGGAGGGAGGAGCCCAATAGAGCTGGTGGGACAGATCGACGAGGCGCAGCCGGAGGAGTGGAGTCCTGAGGTGATGGCTGGTCAACGACTGACAAAGGCGGAGCCGGAGGGATGAGGGAGCCTGGCGGAGCTGGTGGACCACTGCGGAGAGAAGGTAGCTAGGAGCCATGGTGAAGCCGCTAGGTCGACAGGCCAAGGCGGAGTCCGGGCCTTGGAGGCTAGAGGCGAAGACAAGGGATCCTCCAGCCATGACGCTGATGGAGACTGGCAGACCCGCGGCAAACCCATATCACCGATGGTGGGCTGAGGGTGAGCTGAGGGGCTGACAGGGGACAGCGGAGGCAGTGGTGAGGACTGATGAAGAGGTGAAGCTGAAGGGAGGGTGGGTGGGAATTCATGACAGTTAGGGGTTTTTGGGATGGTATATGCAGCCCACACACACCAAAGTACGACTTCCAGCACCGGGAGTGCTATGGATAGGGGAACGACCTCCAAGGTCGAGACAGGACAGACAGATAGTTCAGGGCAGATAGACAGTTCGAAAACGGCCTCCTTGGCCGTAACAGGACAGACAGAGATTTCAGATGATGACGGAAGACTGGGTAGTTCAGAATAAAAGTCAATTAAATACCCTGAGTCCTGCCTCAGTTCACCCTCAGCGGTGGTACAGTGGGTGGGGCTTTCCTCCGTGCCCTCACTCTCCACTGTTACATCCACCGTCACGTGTGTTGTTGACGGCTCTCCACCTGGTCAGAAGATGGGTGAGGCTCTGGCTCCGGGGCGATCCTCAGCTCTGTCGCCTTCTCTGGCGATGGCTCGTCAGTCGTGGCGGGCTTTGGCTCTCCGTCTGTGGTGGGCTCTAGCAAACGCTCTGCACAGCGGGGTGATGGTTGGCTGGGCTCTGAGTCCGGAGTGGGGCTGGTGAGTTCCACATCAATGTGGCCAACGGTGAACGGGGATCCGTTGCTCACCAACACCCACTCCACAAATGCAGCAAAGCTCTCTTGAGGACCTCCCCGGCACAACTGCGCTCTGCACGTGGTGTTGAGGCTCGCAATGTAGAACAAGCAGAGCGCGTCGTCTGGGTAGCTGGTTCTGTGGGAAATGTCAATGAATAGTCCGCTATGGTCCTCGAGGGAAAGTTCCTCCTGCTCCAGCAGGAGGAGGAAGTTGGGGTGATCCATAACAAAAAAATAAAAGACTTTCAAAAACAAAACAAAAAACTTAACTTTTTGTTTGGCCGGTTATTCTGTCACGCTCTTGTGAAGGGAGGCACAGAAAGACCAAGGTAATCCAAATAACATTTAAAAGTAATCCAAGATGATGAAGATTCATACAAAACACAGGGTAACACAAGCAGCATACACAACTAATAACCGGCAGCTAACTGAGCTGAAAGGGGAACTTTAGTAGTGTGAGATAACGAGGGAGAGACAGGTGAGGAAGATAACTAATCAAACATAGGTGAACTGAATGAACTAATCAAAGGACGACAGAAACTAAATGAAAACACAAAAGAAATCCATGACTGTGACAACAACAATGACGGTTCAATAATTAACACACATTTAACCCTTAGGTAGTAAAGCCCTAGGTTTGTCATTTATCATTATCAGTAACAGGCACGCTGCATGAAAGACTCCTTGAGCATCTAGATGTGCGTTTCTCCGCGTATAGAGGCACTGCTCAGAGAAACACTCAGGAGTTTGTCAGCATTCCTGGCAGTTGTAACCCATAACTGAGTAGCCTGATTGTAGTAGATTATGTGTAGTATAATCAAGAGACGCATATTTCAGTCAAAACGACACATATAATTATCAATCCTCCACAGTAAATCAGTTTTCAGAGAGGAAAAGTAAGTCTACAACCTACAGAGCAGTGAAAACATGCTGGATTTTTATTTCCATTTGGTTTAACCATCATTATTATCTGACATCTCTTGGTAATTGGGAACATAGGAATTTTCCTCACTGCATCTGAAAATGTCTGAAGCATTTGGCTTCTCAAAACCAAGTCGTTACCTATCACTTTTTATGCTACTTTATAGCAGGGCTGCACTGACCCACAATGTTTTTCGCTAACTATTGATCTGAAACACAGGCTAATAATCCCTTAAAAGTCTCATAATGCTAGTTGCAACTTTAATCTCACAGTATATGCAATAAATCCTGTAAGAGTGGTTATTCTCTTATTTGACGTAGTTTGTTATCTGGATGGCCTCCATGTTCTCCACTCTCAAGAGGCTGTCAAATTCAGCAGTGAGGTGCAGCTCCTTTCACGTTCAGTAAAGAGCTTCTGCATGTTATCATCAAGCATTTCCTAGAGTCATGTGTTTTTTTGCTGGTCTGATAAAGGCTACTGACCTTAAAACCACTTAAAGGCTGTATTATTATTTAAACTGTGTTTGGACAGTGTGAACACAGTGTCAAGCGGTTGTTTCAGGGATAAATGTTAGTCAATACTAATGTAATTTTGTTTAACGTTGGTATTGGTAAACAACTGTACAAATATGTACAGTTTTGCCAAATATACTGTCAACACTAAGTAAAACCACTTAATATAAGGCCATAATTTCAATGTACAGTAAAAAAACAAACAAAAAAAAAACTATATACTAATTAAACAAACCAAAAAAAAGTGTAATAATATATATTGTCATTCTTGAGACATGGGACAAAACAGGTCCAGGAAGGGTAACCGCTAATACTCATTGTGTGTTGACCTGATCATCACTCTTTTGTGAGTTAAACACAATCTACTAAATATAGACAACTTCATTATAAAAAAAAATAACAAATGAAAAAATATATAATCATAATCTATGATAAAATACTATTATAAACTAGGATAGTGGATAATTCAGAAGCAAAAGTTACTCTACAAAAATCATGTGTTCAATAATTTTATAAAATCTGAACATTATTTAGTGGGGAACAAATAAAAGTAAAGAAGGTCTAGGACTAAATCTGGTAAAACCATACACATTGCTCTTTGTATTGTCGTAAAGTACATTCATGAAAACAAATAAATATATTTATATATAAATATGTATACCATAAAATTAAAATATATATATTTTTAAATGTATAGCACAGTAATGAGGCAGCAACATATGATACATAGGACAGAACAAGAAAGGCTATTAATAATCTATCAATGCGCAAAAGTATTATGATATGAAAGGCTCCAATACAGAGCGGCACAAAGTGCTTATGCGCATCCCGTGTGCAGAATGATGTGCTTGAAGCCACACGGAGTCACAGCGCGCAGCGCTCCACATAGAAAAGTTCAGAACACAAAGATATTGATGAGTAGTGTATCATAGTGCTCTCTACGCCAGTGCTGTGATCCAACAGACACCCGGTAGAAAGTAACATGATTTAGAAACAGCACTAAACTCCAGCAAGATAAAGTCATTTTATGCAAAACCATCGATCTTTATCTACAGATCAAGTATAATAATAGGAACAGTGAATAATTTTGACTTGGAGAGATTTTCACCATCTTGACTGTTGTAACCGAACGCGAAGCACAGTTTTTAAATGATGAATGGAGGATGACTGACAGCTGCAGCGGAGAGAATAGTTTACGAGAACCTGAATTTAACGACTTAAATATTCACCTTAAAGGGGTCATATGATGCAATTTCATTTTTTCCTTTCTCTTTGGAGTGTTACAAGCTCTTGGTGCATAAAGAAGATCTGTAAAGTTGCAAAGACTAAAGTCTCAAATCCAAAGAGATATTCTTTATAAAAGTTGTGATTCGTTGTGAAAGCGAAACTACTTTGTTTGGTCTTCCAAAAGAGGACGATATTCGCTTCATCATGCCTGGAGCTGATCCGTGCTGGTCGCTGAGGGAATATTTCAACTTAGTGCTGTGGATCGCCGGCACATTTTATGGAGGACTGTTTACTGATCCTGGGAGAGTAACGTTAGACTAAAATGCCGGCAGTTCTGACTCACGTAAGTACGTTTTCTTTTATCATTTGCCACTAATGATTCAAACGCGAGTTTTGGGCAGTGTGGAGTAGCACTTGTTTGTCATTTCTCCGATCACAAATGCAGACAGGGTTTTATGTTTACACGGCACGATGCAATGCAACACAACGCGTAAAAAGACAGTATAAGTCATTATAATCAATAATTATGTCCCCACTGGATGCAACAAATTCCACATTTGTAATGGGTTTTAATGTTTTTGTGTCGTCGCTCCGGCCGGACAGTAAACCTCACATTAATCTATGAAATGGCTTCAGAAGACTTAAAATATAGTGCACGGAAACTCTATGTTTTTGTGCCTTCCTTGGGGCTTAACAATAACACAATAGTATACGCACAATATCGGATTTGGATTGGTCTCGTCTGACCGATACCCCGATCCAGCAGAAAATGCCAGTATCGGAGTGATACCGATACTGAATATCAGACCTCTGTGTTTAATTACCTGTATTTGTACGTTTTCTGAGAGGAGTACCTTTTCTCCGCTCGTTTCTCGCGCTGACTGTCATCCGAAGCGTGTGCATAAAGGCATTTCCGACTGCGTGCGATCTCGATAAATATACACATACACAGAGTTACAGTACTTAAGTATTCACGCAAACATAGTCTGTTATGTCTTAGGTGAACGTTTGGGGAACTGTTGGGGAAAAGCATCTGATGTGTAACATTATATTAGATCCGTGCATTACAGTAGGTCTTAATATAGGCCGACTCATTAATGTTAATCTAACGATAAAAGAAAAGAGTGAATCACTCGCTGCTCTTGATTTAACTGCTTTTTGTAGTTTTAATAATCAATTTATTTGTAATATAAACACAGTAAAGGGATTTTTACATTGATTATTTAGTTTTTTGTTTAGATGTAAAATGAAAAAGGTAATGCACTATTTGTTTTTTTCTTATATTTGTTCTATATAAAAATTGCTATATTATTATTAAGAAAAGAAGTGGAGGAAAGATGCAACGTTGCAGGTGATTTTGCTTTGGAACCTTCAGAAAACTTTAACTTGATTTTGCTCAAAATTGACTTTGCTGGCTCTATCGAATTCACAGGTGTAGCTCAGTAATTTTTTGTCCGACTCCAACAAATCATACATCATTCTGAAGGTCTTTTAATGGAGAATGTGAAAATGAAAATAACTCATTTTTGAAAAATTGCTCATTGTGACTCATTTTGCCAGCACAGGTCACATTTACATATATCATAAACAACATTAAACAATTAGATTAATAAATAAATAATTTATATGA